AAAGTCAAGATTTAAAATCATGAACGCTTCTAAAATATTTTTCTATAGGTTTTCAGCGATGCTCTTTCCAATAGAATGGTTTTTAAATTCTGATAAAGTTTTTGAAGTGGTTTGAAGAGATTCGATCTCTGGAAAACTCCTTGGGAAACTTTTTTAAAACTCGAAAACCATTCGGTTGGAAAGAGCGTCGTAGAAAACCTATAGGAAATGGTTTAGATACGTTTGGACTGCTTTTAAAACTCATGTCCACGTGCTTAGTCAAAACTGTCCACTGTGTGTACAGGAACTTTTAAGAGTTTTATTTCAAGGTGGAGAAATGATTAATTATGAAAAACTTATAAAACATCTAATGAATCTTAGAAGTGTTTCTTGGATAGAAAAATATCGATCAGGTCTTCATTCTGATGTAATAAATAATGTTGAACAATCAATTTTTCAACATGTAAAAAAATTAAAAAAATCTATTCTTCACATCAATTTAGATCTTGATCATTTTCATCAAATAAAACATGTCTCAGAGATGTTATTTCATATTAATGAAATGAAACATTTAGAAATTTTTGTTCCAACTATAAATGAATCTATAAAAGAAGCAAATTCTTGATTTCAAGAAACGATAAATAATGTATTTAATATTATTCAAAATATATTTAATTTAACAAAATGGAAAAAATAAGAATATAAAAGTTTAAATTCAATTAAAGGTGAAAAAGTATTTCAGTATTTAGATGTTTGTAATGATATATCTTTTTTACTTAGAAGAGATTGTATACAAGTATCTGATTGTTTAAAAAGTTTTGTAAAAGATTTCAGTGAATTTATTCAAAAAGAAATGGAAACAAGTTTTGAAATAATTAAAAAATCTGAAAATACTAATACAAATGAGATTATAGAAGGAGTTCATATCATAGCTTGTCGTCTACAAGAAATATCTAATATAGAAAATATTGTATTCATGTTTTTTGTTCATTTTTCTAAGAAAACTATCGTTCAAGATTGGCAAATTAAGTTAACGAGTTATTATTCTAATTTATCAACTGAAATGGCACAATTAAGTGTTACACAAAAAATAGAAGCTTTAAATATGAAATATCGACAGCAAAAGTATTGAGTAAATTAGATAAATTTTTAGAAAGTGAAAAATATATTGATATTTATAATAAATGTCAAAATATATTTTTTACAAAAAATAATAATATTGGTCAACAGGTAATATTAGGTTGTCCGGAAAGTTCGTGCAACTCACCTTGGGGTACATCCGTAAGATATTTAGTTTCTATCATTTTATAGAGGGCGCAATCTTATTACGATATACAAATTTTGGTCCGATTGATTCATTTCTTTCGTTAAAAAAAAAAACCATTTTGATAGCCATATCTGGTCATATTTCAAATATGTCGAATATCGAGTATCGAGCAGTCATAAAGTTTTTCACCCGAAAAGGGCTAAATGCCACCGAAATTAGCAAGAAGCTGGATAATGTTTACGACTCTGCATCATCGTACCGCACCGTCACCAAGTGGGTAGCTGAATTTACAGACCCAGAACGCGGCTTCGAAGATCTACCTCGAAGTGGTCGCCCATCAACCACGATCACCGATGAAAACATTGAAGCTGTTGAACGGATTGTGATGCGTGATCGACAAATTTCTGTCCGTCGGGTAGCTGATGAATTAGGTATTCCAAAAACCAGGTGAACAGACACCAACCCAACTCCGTCGACAACGATCGGCTGAAAAACTTATGATGATCATTTTCTGGGACGAAGATGGCGTTCTGCCACCTGGAACTACGATCAATGGTCCGTATTATGCATCAATCATCGAGCGGCTGCGTTTTGCTATCCTGGAGAAACGTCGCGGCAAAGTTCGTCATGGTATGCTGCTTCTTCATGACAACGCCTCCGTTCACAAGTCCAACATTGGGCAGGCTGCTATTCGACAGGTCGGCTTCGTCGAATTGAATCACCCGGCTTATTCTCCAAATATTGCACCGTGTGATTACCACCTGTTCTCAAATTTGAAAAAGTTCCTTCGTGGCAAGAATTTTAGCTCCGACAATGAAGCAATAGGAGCTGTTAAATGATCTTAATTCTGAATTTTTTTATCAAGGTATAGAGCGTTTGCGCGACCGCTGGCAGCGTGTGGTTGCTAGTGGAGGTCAGTACATTCAATAAATATGATTATTGTTCTTCTGCCATTTAACAGTATATGAGTTGCACGAACTTTCCGGACAACCTAATAGATGCAATTGAAAAATTCGATTATCAAGTTGATGCAGGCAAAATGTTGACTTTACAATCGAATGTTGTAGGAAAACATTTTCAGGAAGAAGCTAAACGACCTTTAAATACAGGTTTAAATCAATTAATAGAGGAAACTGAAGATTGTGCGATTATGCTTGCAGCTTAGTATAGCTATAGAAGATATTAAATCGATTGTAGAAAATTTAAAACGAATGGAAAGAGCAAAACAATTTGTCGAAATATATTTAGATGAACTAAAAAAAAAATCGATGAATCTGTTAAGAATGTTAAAAAAATAATTGAAGATAGTATAAGACGTTATATAGAAAGAATAAAAGCTCTTATAAATAATCATAATTTTTCCAAAGCAGATAGAAAAAGTCAATCAATAAGATTAGTACGTAGATGTTTAAGTAGCTATTGTACAAAAGAAATTGCTGATCAAATCGAAAAATTAGATGAATATCAAAAGGAAGTTGTTTCAAGAAATATTGTTGATAGATATTCTGAAATGGATATAAGTGGATATAATTCATATCCACCAAAAGATATTTTTGAAAGATTTACACAGGTTGATCAAACGAATCCAATATATAATGAGATATTAGATAAAATAAGAACAATTGTACTTAATAAATTTCGAGATGAATTAGAAAAAGCAAAATCAAAATTATTACCATTTTCAGAAAATAAACATATTCGAAGATTTGAATCTTCAGTTATATATGCATCTGATACGATAACAAGTGAACTTGAAGTTCAGTTACAATATTGTAAATCCTCGTGGAAAAAAATAGTTGCACACAGTATTTTTAAGATATTTTTCTTACGAAAATATACTTTTACAAAAATGATCACATATTCTACTAGCGCTATAATAATGTTTTTTTAAAAAGATGCGCCACGAAATGCTCTACAAAACCATACCTAATCTTTAATTTTAGAGCTTCAATCAAGAAAACTACGCAGATTATACAAAAGACGAAAAAAAATGAAAACTTTGAAAATCTGTTATTTTTTTCCACCTGAACCTATTTCTTTTGCTACTATTTCCGTAAAAGAAGGGTTGCAAAAGTGAGAAGTCAGTTCCTTTTGTACTTCTGAATGTGCTCTTTCTCGTGGTCTGTAAAAAGATACATTTACTTTCCGAAAATTTTAATGCTACAATTAAATTATTGATAAGTAAAATTCAAGATTATGCAAATGAATATGAAAGAAAAGGACGTGATACTTTAGAAATAATTGATATTGATTCTCTTCTAAGTATATTAAAAATGATGTCTATTTGGAATTTTATATTGATAAAGATGAAAATTTATTACGATAGGTATAATAAGATAGCGATACATCCATGAAAACTTTAATGAATACTATACAACTACTTTCTCACTATTCTCAAATGTTACACAATTGATATCTCAAAAAATGGAAGATCTACGAAATGTACTTTTGAATCAAGAACTTTTTAATTATGATACAAGAGAATTTAGTAAAACTCGAGATGAATTTTATCATAAATTAAATGAAAAATTTATTCTTTTCAATCGAATGAAAGATTTTAAGCAGTTCAAAATACAGATTGATATAGATAAATTTGAAATAGTTGTTTAAAATTATTAGATTTTAAAATTAGAACAATATGTTCTGATTGTGAAAAACTATCACATAAAATTGTAAACGATGGTAAATTAACAAGTGAAGATTATAATAAATTTAATTTATACTATTGTAATTTAATATCGAGTCGACAAGAAATAACAGTTATTAATCCAGATATTCAATTTAGTATTGATCAAATTAAAAAATATATATATTTGAGAAAATTGAAACATGGGAAAGTTCTATTCAATATAATTCAACTCTTGAAAATGTTGTTATATATATAAAAAATATGAAAGCTATTGCTAAGAATATTTCTTCTTTTCGAGATAAAGTGAGTGAGAAAATAGATGAAATATTGAAAATGTATAAAAATGAACAAGATATTAAAACTTTTGCTAAATTAGGTACATTTTTTAATCAGGATAAAGATGGTCTTGTTCAAACGATTATTTCTGAGCATAAGGTATTCCATGCTTTTTCATTATCTTTATTTAATGAAAAAATTAAAAAACATCATATCACTTAATGTACTAAAAGAAATAAAAGGTGATAAGATCGTCACAGATAATTTGTGCAAACAATATGAGACCTTTAATAATATTTATAAGCAACTTGTCGAAGAAAATCTTCATCCCGATATGAAACTCGACCGATTAATTTCCGATATTATGTTAATCACAGGAAATATCAGACAGAATTCAAACACCATTATATGGGATACACAAGTAAAAAGTGAAGTTCCAATCCTAGCAGCACATATTTTTGCCCTTTGGACACTTTCAAAAGCTGATAATTATTTTGATGCTACAGGTTTAGATGATCTAGAAAATTATCTTGTACAAGAAAACGCTGTGCTTACTTATCTAATCCATCTATAATACAGAAAGCCACATTTTGTAATACATTTTCGTCAATTTCACTATCATCACCGTTCCCATCGTCATTCATTTTCTACCTAGAAAAACAGAAAAATCGCAAAGAATTATTTGCTTCAAAAGAATAGGTGGTAGTGGTGTATCTTACTGTTGATCTGGGAACTTAATAAACATAGGACGCGTAGCGCAGTTAGGAAAAATTTTATAACTCGCTGAAAATTAAATATTTTGAGATCGGGTTTGCTGTATCTTAAAATAAAATAATTCTTCTATTACTTGCTTAGAGAGAACTGTTATGATCTTCCCCTTCGGTTAGATCATATCATCACTTCTCCTATTCTTCTTATAAAATACATATATATGCTTTGTGCGTTATTCTCTATGTTCTGGGATTTTCCCCATATGTAACTTTCTCTATTCTGTTTCTTTCCT